CTTCAGGGCATATTTTTTGTTTATGGTTTAAATGTTATCTCAGGATAATAGTTTTGGGGATTCATCCAGCCTCCATGGCTACTGAAAGACTGGATTCTATAGGAATTTTAAATTTTGTTCTGCATTTTCCCCATTTTGATCAGAATGCCTCCGTAGAGTCTTCGATCAAATGTTCAGTAGTGGTAGCTGAGCACCATCCACCTCTCTGGCCTCCTGGTGAAGGGGGCAATTGTCTCATGGAGGTGATTAGACACACAGCCATTTCCCCTCCCGCTCCTGGCGCTCCTCCTTCCTCTGTTGCCTCAGGAGAATGGAGACCATTTGTGTCTTGGATGGTTACTTGTGAGCTTTTGAGACCCCAGGTACCAGGAAACAAACTCTGAGGTAGACCAGAAGCACAGACGGGGTATTAGCCCAGTTAGCTGGGTCCCTGAGGCCTGATGCTGAGCCGCCAAGCCACGAACCCCGTGAGGTGTCTGCTCAGAGCGGACAGCCAAGCACCCGCTCTTCTGTTATTGCTGTAAACAGATGTGTCACACGACTTCCACCCGTAAGAAGCGGGCTTTTAATAACTTGTCGTGTTATTCAAGAGTTGCGATTTCATTTTCAAAAACCCTCCCAAGTTTCAGGTTGCTAACAGAGTTACCAGGAGCCTCTCAATGTGTTTCCTGTTGTTTTTTTGAATAGCAGTTATACTGTGGGTAAGGAGGACACATACAGTGTTCGGTATAAAAGGGAATAAATGAACCCTCCCTGACCCCTGTCGGACTGGAGAGCTCGGGGGGCGTAGTGCCTAAGGCACCTGACTGCTAACCAGAAGGTTAGCGGTTCAAACTCTCAACCACTCTGCTGAAGCAAGACTGGGCAATCTACTTCCATAAAGATTTACCGCCTCGGAAACCCAAAGGGGGTCACTGTGAGTTGGAATCAACTCGGTGACAGTGAGTTTGGTTTCTTGTTTTCCTTTTGCTCAGTACCCTTATTCTAGAGCACCCCTCTTCTCGGGCCCCCACTTCCAGGCCCCTCCTGCTCTCCCTTTCAGTTGTACAGCCTCTTCATGTGTTTGCTTTTCTTCTGCTTGGTGAGTCCTTTCTTCAGTGTGAGACCTTGTGGTTGTGGGTTCAGAACCTGCTGTTGCAGTTTTTTTGTTTGTTTTTTTTTTTTTTTTAATGTTTTCCTTTGACATTAAGTTTTCATCAAAATATCTCCACTAATTGCATTGCATGATGGTCACTTGAACCCTTTATACTTCTGCTGGGTCTTCTGATTTTTGTTGATTTCTTGTTACTATGAACAACAATATAATAAATATCCTTCTCTATAAATATCTATGCTATATATTTTATCTCCTTAGGACAAGATTATAGAGTTAGAATCACTGGATTAAAGATAAACACATTTTTAAGACTTTTGAGCCATACCACCAAATTGCCTTTCAGAAAGATTGTACAAATTTACATACCCACTAGCAGTGAGTGAGGGTGTAACTTTACTCACCTGGGTATTATATTTTAAATTGTTAAATGTGAAGGGTTAAAAAAAAAACCTGCATCTTTTAAAGCTTTCTTTGATCCTTCCAAACCAAACTCACTGCCATCAAGTCACTTCTGACTCATAGCGACCCCCTTTGGGGTTTTGAGGCAGTAAATCTTTACAGAAGTAGATTGCCCAGTCTTCCTTCCATGGAGTGGCTGGTGGGTTTGAACCGCCAACCTTCTGGTTAGCAGTCAAATGCCTCAGGCACCACACTACCAGAGCTCCTTTTCTTTGATCCTCAGTGATGGTAAAGTTTTTTAGCCTATTCGTTGGCCATTTGCAATTCTTCTTTCGTGTGGTTCTTTTATGCATATCCTTTGTTAATTTTTCAGCTGGTCTGTTTGTACTTTTCATGTTGATTTGTGAAAGCTCTGTATATATTAAGGTAATTGCTACTTGTCTGTTATAAATCTTTCCCAATTTAGTCATTTGCCTTAATTTTATGGCTGTTTTTATGTTTTTAATCTACAGATAATTTGTTTCCAATCTAATCAACTAGTAACTAACTGAATGATTTGTTTCACTGTTCTTCAGCTTCTTAAACACCCCCTGACTCACAGTGGCCCCCTGGGTTCCCAAGGCTGTCAGTCTTTGTGAAAGCACACTGCCCCATCTTTCTTCCATGGAGTGGCTGTTGGGTTTGAACCACCAACCTTTTGATTAGCAGCCAAATGCTTTAATCACTACCTCCAGTGGGTCTTTAGTTTTTGGTTTTCTGCACAGTTCCTGAACCACTACTGTGCTGCTTTAAATGCTGCTGTAGGACTATGGTATATTTTAGCATCTCCTACAGGAGGCCCTAATTTCTGTTACAAAATTTTCTGGCCTCTTCTTTCCTATTTATCCTTAAATGTGCATATACTGTTATTTAATTAATTTATGATGAATTATTTTTAGATATACAGGGAAATACAAAACTAATATAATGAGCGCCCATTACTCAGTGGACTCTGCCCAACTTCATCACAAAACGTTAAAGTCCAGCTCTTTGAGCGTCCTGCTCTGGGTCCTCCCGACCCTCCTCGGGCTGTGTGCCCTCTGCACGGCTTTCCACCTGGCTGGGCGTTTTTGAGCTCCAGCCTTGTTGATGCTTGCAGCTCAGTTCAGGGTCAGCAGACTTCTGCGAGGGCCCAGAGAGCAAATACTTCCGGCTTTGAGGGCCAGGCCAGCTGTGTCGCAACACCTCAGCTCCGAACGCAGCTCCGGGCCTCGCGTGATCGAGTGGGCGTAGCTACGTGCCAGTCAAACGCTGTGTGAGACTTTTAACCGTTAGGTTCTTGTAGTTCCACATATCATGAAATAGTCCTCTTTTGATTTTTTTCAACTATTAAAAAAGGTATTGGGTGCATTTACTTTCACCACAATTTAAAAAAATAAACTGATTTGTAGCTCGTGGGCTATAAGGAAAAGGTGGTGGGTGGGCTGTGGCCCCCGGGCCGTGCTTGCCAAGCACAGCCCAGAGGTTAGCGGGGTGTTCTCTGTCATGTGAATATACCAGGATTCACTTAGCTGCCCCTGCTGATGGACGTTAGGTTGTCTCCAGTTTCATCCACGTGCACTGCTGTGTGTGTGTGTGTGTGTGTGTGTGTGTGTGTGTGTGTCTGGTCTACATATGGACCATTTTACTCCACTTCACTCCCTGTGCTTTGCAGATACTACATTTTTTTACAAGTTGGAGGCTGGTGTCAACCCTGCAGTGAGCAAGTCTGTTGCTGCCGTTTTTCCAACACATGTGCTCATTTTGTGTCTGTGTGTCACCTTTTGGTCATTTTCACTATATTTCAAATTTCCCATAATGTTGATGCACTTAATAGACTACAGTATAAGGCACCTGACTGCTGACCAGAAGGCTGGCGGTTCAAACCCACCAGCCACTCCTCGGAAGGAAGACTGGCAGTCCACTTCCATACTGATACCTCCTTGGAAACCCAAGGAGGGGTCGCTATGAGTCTAATCGACTTGACAGCAGTGAGTGTGGTTGGTTTTGTTTTCGGAAACCCAGGATTCATGTGACTTGCTTAATTGCGGTGGTCTGGAACCAGCCCTGCAATAACTCCAAGGTGTGCCTAAGAAAGTGCTTCCAGGGCATGTGCCAAGGGTCAGAACTGCAGGGGAGGAACCCGAGGGGATGACACACACGACGCCATGTCCCTTCTCACAAGTACGCAGGTGAGCACAGCCGTGCAGGTGAGACATTGGCTGGGCACCGTGAGCAGACTGTGGCACGCAGTGCTGTAGGTGCAGACAAAGGACACGGGGGGCCTTAGACCAAGGGGGCACTGGGCACTGAAGGCACCGTCATCTCCTGTCGGGCTCGCAGCCGGTGGAGAAGTGGCCTCGGTGGCACACGGCCTTGCTGGGTGTCCTAGGAGGACAGCAGGGTTGCCCTAATCCATTTCTTGAAGCTGGTGGTTTCGGCCGGGCTCATGGCAGTGAGTGTGTCACCCAACCAAGCTGGTGCAGAACACCAGGGATCTGGAGAGAGCGTTTTTCCCAAGTCCATGGGAGACTTCACGGAGGCATTGCAGAGACGGCACACAGCATGCGGGCTCCGGCTGCCGGGTCTCCAGATAGGACGCTGGCCGGGCCGTGAAGTCTCCCTGCGTTCCGGGAGAGCCAGAAACCGTCAGAAGTGCGACCCCAGACCTGGGAGGACACGACCCCCTTACACACATCGGCCTAGTGTGGCCAGTCGGTGGAGAGCCACGGCTTCGAGGACAGGGTGGCCCTGCCACTCTGTGCACCTCTCTGTGCACTGTTCTCCAGGGCACCTGCTTTCCATGTTCCCTACGATTCACCTCCCGTGACAGCTGGGGCCCTGCACCTGGGTCCCCGAGCAACCTTGAGTGTCTGAGCCACCAGCTCATTGGTACACGTTGGTGTGCTGGTGTTCCCAGTGCAGCCTGAGACGCCCCGCTCTGGGCAGATGGTGGCCTGCCGCCACCTCCCTGAGAGGCCGGCAATGAGCCCGGTGCCCTGCCTGCCTGTGTGTGTTAGGTAAACAGAGCAGGTGCCCTTGGCTTCCTGCTGGCTAGAGAGAGACTAGCATCTCAGTGCCCCAGGGCAGCCCCCTCACATGCCCCAGGCTGAGAGCAGAGGTTCACTTTCCCATGTTCCGGAGGCCAGGAGTCCAAGTGCAGGAGCCTGCTTTGTCTGCCGGCAGGAGCCTTGTGCTGCCCTCAGCCCCTAGTGTTCCTTGGCTCGTACACAGACCCCCACCTGGCATCTTCCCCTGGGACTCCATTTCTGAGTCTGCTCCCTCCCTTTTATAAAACGCTCAGAAGGCATTAGAATTAGGGTTAGGACGCCCGCACTGGGATATGACTTAACTGATAAACAGCTGCGGAGGAAAACGCCATTTCCAAAGCAGGTCGCACACAGGGCTAGGACTTCACCACGTGTTTTCAGGCGACACAGTTCAACCTGTATGGGTGGTTTCCAAAAATGGTTTTCTTCTTTTATAGAACCGGCCCAGAATTCCCACTGTGACTTGTACATCAACCCGTCAGAAAGAAAACAGGTCCCCAAAGCCACCGCTGGCCCAGGAACTCCACGGGGAGAACGGCCCCCACATCCAGAGGTCATTGTCATTGGACAGCAAGTCCCTCCAGGACACATGGAAGTTACTAGAGCTGGGCTCCAGTCCTTCTGGCCCCACCTCCCAGGGTGACTCAACTCCAGGTAGGAGAAACGGCTTCCCTGGGCTGCTGCAGCTCTGTGGGTGCTGGTGGGAGGCACCTAGTGGCCTCCTTCCCGGGCTTGAGAGGGAGTGCCTGCATCCTTCCTACTGATCCGGACGCCTGCACTTTGTCTAACCAAACACATGAGCCTATAGGGTGGGGCAGAACTGCCTAGAGAGTGGCCAAGGCTAGAAATCTTTTTTTTCCTTCACTTTTTATTGTGATTTGGGTGAAAGTTTGCAGAGCAAATTCATTGTTCATTCAACAGTTCATACACATTTTGATTCGTGACATGCACTGCAGCCCCACAGTGTAACAGCTCTGTCCCCACTTCCTCCCTGTGGGTACTGTTCACCCTCCTTTCCTATCCCCTCCTGCCCTGGGCACGTGCTGCCCTTTGGATCTTGTATGGCTGACTGTTGAAACACGTGCACGCCTCCCTGGTGTCACTGTTCACCTTCTAGGTCGGCTGTTGTTTGACTGAAAGCTGAGCCACTGGGGCGAGTTCAGTTCCGGGACTGAAGGGTAACTAGGAGCCATAGTCTCGGGGTTTCACCACTCTTTGTCAGACCAGTAAGCCTGGTGTTCTTTATAGTTTTGAATTTTGTTCCACATTGTTCTCCCACCCTATGCAGGACCTCCTACTGTGATGTCTTTCTGAGGGGTTGGCAGTGGTAGCTGGGCACCATCTCCTTCTGGTCGAGGGTCCACATGTTGCCTTAGACTTTTGGGCTGATTGTTTGCTTGTGTCCTTGATTTTCTTTCACTCTTCTTTGCTCTGGACGGGAGAGACCAACAGCTGTACCTTAGATCGCCGCTCACAAGCTTGTAAGGCCCCAGTCACCACTCCCCAAAGTAGGATGTGGAACATGGACTGTGTTAAGGTAACTGACCTTGTTGTCCCTCCCCCAGGAGTATGGTCCTGAGCCCCCAGGCCCAGGGACTCACTCCCTCAAGGTGTTTGGTTATGGTTAAGATGTTGTCTTAACTTTGTCCCCATGGTCTACTAAGAGGAGCTCTGACAGTGTAGCCTCTAAGGCATGCAACTGCTGGACTGCAAGTTTCAGTCAGAACCCACCAGCCACTTCATGGGGGAAAGATGAGGCCGTCTGCTTCTGTCAGGCCATACGGCTTGGGAAACCCTATGGGGCAGTTGTACTGTGTCCTGTCGAGTCGCTATGAGTCGGAATCGACTCAGGGCAGTGGGTTGGGTTGTTTTTTTGGTGTTCTATGTTGTATCCATGGATATATTTGGAGCACGGCTGTAAATCTTACGGGAGTAGACGGCCACATCGTTCTCTGTGACTGGCGGTTTGAATCGCCGTCCTTTCGGTTAGCAGCAAAAGTGCTTAACCCCTGCGCCACCAGGGATTCCTCATTTTATCGTTTTGGTAGCATATGAATACACACACACACACATGCGTACACACATGGGTACACAGATAAAAGCCTCTGAGTGCTGTGCACTCAACTACAGTTAACCTGAAGGCTGAAGCTTCAGACCCCCTCAGCAGCACCACGGAAGACAGACCGCACAGTCCGCTCCCGTCGTTACGGGCCAGTGCTGTCACGTGGTGGTGCCAGGGTTTGGAATTCACTCAGTGACGTTGGGTTTGGTGTTTCCGTCCCCTCACCTCTGCTTCAGTGCCTGCGTACACGGTGTGCCGTGATGAGAAGCCTGCTGGGAGGAGCCTTGACTTCTAGCTGGCGTGGAGCGGCATGTTGTGCTCAGAGTGCGGGCCACATGAGGAGTAGGGAGACTGCCCCCCGGGGGCTGCTGTGGACGGGCCGTCCCGTTTCTCAGCCGCAGACGGGCAGCCCCAATCTCTCGAGCAGTGCGCGTCCTGGCCCGCGGCCGCCCCATCATCGCTGCCTTCAGGCCCTGCTCTGACTGTCGTCTCAGTCATGTACCCGTAAGCGCGCAGGCTGCACCTTTGTTCACACTCGTAGTCGTCCTGGCACTTGGGAAAACCCGTCTGCAGGCCCACCTTTGAGGGAACTGCACGAGACAGTACGAAGCGAGAGAAAGGGAAAGGGCCGTCCGAAGCCAGCCAGACGGGAAGTGAGGAGGTGGAGGCAGACTGTACCCGGCTGTGCGCGTAGTGTGTCTGCAGCCCGCCCATCCAGCCTCCTCGGGCTCTGTGCGGCGGCAGAGTGCTCCCCTGAACACTGGGACTGGCTTCCCTAACCAGGCTTCGTCACAGGCGTGTTAGGTTATTTCCAATCTTTTGCCCTCACAGATAGGGTTACATTGAATAACCCTGAGTGTGCTCTAGTGAGTGTGCTCTAGTGAGTGTGCTCTAGTGAGTGTGTAGAGGACACGTGTGAACTCCCAAAAGCAGGGTGTGTCGTCAAAGGCACGTGCGTCTCTCGTCTGGGTGGGTGCTGTCGTTCTGGCCTCTGCAAAGACTCTGCTGGCTTCCACTTCCACGTGGGGTTTGGGGGGTCCACTCCCAGGTTAGGATTTGAGGGTTCTACTCCCAGGGGGGTGGGGTTTGAGGGCTCCACTCCCAGGGCTGGGGTTTGAGGGTTCTACTCCCAGGGGGGTGGGGTTTGAGGGTTCCACTCCCGGGGGGTGGGGTTTGAGGGCTCCACTCTCAGGGGCAGGGTTTGAGGGGTCCACTCCCAGGTTAGGATTTGAGGGTTCTACTCCCAGGGGG